GTTTTTTGTTTTGCATTGTGCCTACCTGTCATTCCCGAAGTACTTGGCTGCAAATCTGAAAACTAATCCAAATCTTAACCAGTATTTGGGCAATAACCTGACATGTTGTGCCTTTCAAAATACAAAATGTACCAACATAACTGCGGACCAGACAACCAATGTCACTAAAAATCCATTATCAAATCCCATTTGCCCAGATTTCTCATTTCACATGAGCTATCATCATGCTGCTCTCCTATGCCACCACTTAAAAACCTCATTATTAGGCATGGGGAGTGCACATTTGGATGGGTAGAGTGTTTGCAATTATGTTTTAAGGTGCTTCCCCAAAGCTATAAAGTCAAAGCTATAAATGGCAAGATGGGTGATGTAATTGCCAACAGAATATGAAACATGTCTGAAATTAGTCAGTTCTGCTCATCCTTAAAGGAGGTTCCCGCAGAGCATACATATCAGAAAGGATACAATGAGGGGGTGCAAAAACAGAGTCAGAAAGCTGGGTAGCCCTGGCAAGTTTGGCTCAGTGGTTGGAGCATCCACTGCGGACTAAAGGGTCCCCGATTCAATTCCAGTCAAGGGCATGTAACTCGGTGGCAGGCTCAACCCCTGGCTCTGGTTGGGGGCCCATGCCGGAGGCAAGCAATGGATGTCTCTCACATCGATGTTTCTCTCTCAGAACTACCATATGATCCAGCAGTCCTGCCCCTGGATAACTACCCAAAGGAAAGGAAATCAGGGGCTCAAAGACACTGCACCCCCATGTTCACTGCAGCCTTATTCACAACAGCCAGGACATGGCAACAACACAAATGTCCATCAACAGATGCACATGGCCCATACATACACTGGAATAGTATTGTCTTTAATGAGAAGGAAATCCTGCGCTAGCCTATTTGGCTCAGTGGATAGAGCATCAGCGCATACATACACTGGAATAGTATTGTCTTTAACCCCTTCCCCGGCAGAAACGTGTATACTCGTTTTCACAAAATGTTCTTTTTCAGTCATCGACGAGTATACTAAGAAAATATGGTAAAAAAATATGGTTTATAGGAAGACGAGTTACAAACTGTTTTCATAACCAGCATCAAAAATACTATATAGAACCAAAATAAAAAAATTAGTCTGAAAAAGAAACGTTTTTAACAAAAAAATTGTTGGGGAAGGGGTTAATGAGAAGGAAATCCTGCACTAGCTTATTTGGCTCAGTGGATAGAGCATCAGCCCGAGGACTGAAGGGTCCCAGGTTCAATTCCGATCAAGGGCATGTACCTCAGTTGCAGGCTCAATCCCCATCTGGTCGGGGCACACGTGGGAGGCAACCAATCAACGTGTCTCTCTCACATTGATGTTTCTCTCTGTCCCTCCCTCTCCCTCCCACTTTTCCAAAAATCAATGGAAAAGTATCCTCCGGTGAGGATTAACCACAAAAATAAGGAAATCCTACCCTTTGTGACAATGTGGGGGGCCTGGCAGCATTATGCTAAGTGAAATAAGACAGCAGCAGCGTTCTTTCGGGTGGCTTCTGTTATAGGAGGCCCCTAAAACAGCCAAAGATATAGAAGCAGACCACAGAGCGGTGGTTACCAGGGGATGGGGCCAGGGGACACAGGAAGCTGCTGCTCAATGGCTGTAAAGTGACAGCGACACAGGCAGGTTCCCAAGCTCCGCTGTACCACGTGGCGCCTGTGTTAATAAGGTGCTGTGCACCAAACGTTTGGTAAGCAGGTAGGTCTCATGCTAAGTGTTCTTACCACATAAATACAAAAAAGACCACTAAAAAGCAAAGGGATACATTTGTGGAGATGACAGTTTATTACCTAGATTATGTCCAAACTCATCAAATCGTGTGCGTTATGTGGTGTTGCAGACTGATGATAGCTCACTGAAGCTGGGGTCGGGAGCATGGGCACACGCAGTAGGTAGGTGAAGCCTGGCTGGTGTGCTAACCGCAGGCTCTGCTAGGCCGCAAAGCCCTGCCTGTTGCCTTTGCCAAGATCTGTAGTGCGTGCATCCTACCACAGCCAATGCCAAGGTGCGGTGCGACATTACTCGAGGCAGTTAGGGAGAGATGACCACAGCTGGCTCTCACGTGTTGATACAAGACAACTCTAGCACAGACCTGGGCGAGGGCATGGGCAGGGCACCCAGCCCCTCCCATGGCTACAGCCGAAGCGCTTCGTTACAGACCTAGGATCTTACCATTTTATGTGACTTTCCCCCTCCCTTTGTGATGTATCAATCTTTAAACATCTTACCATTAAAAACAAAGGATTTACTCTCAAAAACTTTGATTTCATACTATAGAAAGGTATGTCTTATAATTTATTATCTCTCTCCTCCCCTCACCCAAATCACACCAGCACGCACCCATGGGACCAAGTGAAAACTATTTAAGAAGACTTCATACATCCAACCATTTGGTCAACTTAACAGTGATGCATAGCTCTTGTTCTGTCTGGCCAGCACAGACAAGAGCTAATAGCACGTCCTTGTCCTTAAAGAAATCACCCCTTACCCCATCCTGAGTCCTCAGCACCTAAAATTTCCTGGCTCTAGCAGGTAGCACATGACACAGGTCTGGCCAATCAGAACATTTCATTCTCCTGGAGAAGGGACCCGGTCCCAGGGAGCTAATAACACTCTTTGCTAGAAATTGTTGAAAAAGGAAACCTGTTCCCACTGGATTACCCAGGAGGCCTGGAACAGCTAGGGGCCGAATCCACCATGAGGAAAGACCCTTCTAGAATGAAGCCAACACACACACAAATGAGTGAGAAACAGAGAATAACTGAGTCAGAGAGCACCATCTGAGCGCTCAGCTCCAGCTCTGCCTGAGGACACTTCCTGACCTTCACATGAGCCCATCAAACCCCTTTTTAACTCAAGTCCCTTTGATTTGGATTCCAGTCACTTGCGTCCACAATACTGTTGGCTGATTTATAGGTCTGAGAGCAAATGAGTGGGACTTTGGTACACACCCAGCCAGCTGGTCGCCTGGAGCCTGAATAGAGTTCAGTGTAGAAGAACCGTTTATTGGAGCCCATCCCTCCGGGGGCTGAGAATGAACGCCAAGCAGAACTGGTCTTGTCAAGCTGGCCAGACGAACAGAGGTCACTTCAGGATCCGGATGCTCATCTTCTGCTCAACGTCCATCTTCTCCAGGGACTGGTGGAGATGGGAGGCAGTTGAGAGAACTTGAACTCCAGCCCTCTGTTCTTCCAACTTCCTCTCCCATCCCCAAGGCCCTGGGAACCCCCCTCTTTCTGCCCTCCTCCTTCGGGCTTCATTTCCCACGTCCATCTGTCCGAGGAACTCCTCAGGCCCCAAGGGCACTCTGACCTTGCTGAACTCCATGAAGGACACAGCCCCATCCCCATCTTCATCGGCCTCCTGCACCGTGCGGTCAGTGATGCTTTCCAGCTGCTCTTCCGTCACCTGGACCCCAACCATGAGCCGGAGTACCTGGGAGGTGGAGGACGAGACGGCCATAAAGAGGAGGCACAGGGACTACTAGCACCCCCCCAACCTTGTCCATATCACCCCAAAAGTCACTAGCAATTTCATAATCCACCCCTCATCCTTTGCTCCCCCCATTCCAATCACTGCCCACACATCCACCAATAGTGTCCCCTACTGCTTCTCAATGTAAACCCTCACTACCCCTCATTCACCCAACAGTATGCCCAGGCCCATTACTCAACTGCAGTCTCAGAACCCAGCCTCCATCCCATCCTCCAACCATTCCCAGTCCCCAGTTTTTCAATCTCAGCACCATTGACGTTTGGGGCCAGATAACTCCTTGCTGGGGCGGG